ATTATATATATACATATATATGTGTGTGTGTGTGTGTTTGTATATATACACGTGTGTGGGTTTTTCCTTTTTTTCTTTTTTTTTTTTTAATGCAACATATCATGACAATTTGAAAATCAGGAAGTTTTTATTGTAAAATAACTGGTTTGGAATTTTTGGCACTTTTAAAACTAATCAGAATAGCGGAAAATTTTTATTTTAGCGTTAAGCAGAAAAGCTAATACTCGATTAATTTTCTATTCATTGCAGTTTATTTGAATTTTAGTTGTCTTCGGGGAAGACAAAAATCCACTCGAGTCTTTTTCAATGAATATTAATGGAATGTTTTGCGTGTCTGATATACAGTACAGGTAAACTCGCGCTATTTATTTTGTTAGTCAGGTAAATAAAAATATTTTAACCGTTGCATAGCTTTGGGATTAGACGGTAGAAGGCCTGTGAATAACAAATTCAAATAAGAATGATTAATTGGTAAAAGGCCTTTATGTATTAGTTTCTTAAAAACTGAATACCAGAATTATCTTATTATTAAGAATTCTTTAGAAATTTTATAAACAAGATTTTCATCTGTTATTCATTTTTCGTTTTTATGTAAATTACGTATGAAATTCAATAGATTAAAATAATGCAATTTAACATAAAAAGAGAGCGGGATATAAAAATATAGAATAACGTAAATAACTGATTCTAAAAGCAGGAATTCAAAGCCAACGTTACCCAGCATCTCATAAATTCAAGATTAAAATGTTTATCTATAATAATAAAACACTCATACTTGCTAAAGTACAACTACATTGATATCCTTCTCTTGTTTTGTTTACTGATGTTTATCTAAAAATCGATAAAATACATTATTAAAAATACTAAAAAATTCCTGGAACTTTGTGACAAAATGACTATTGTTCTTTATCATATAGGTAAGAAAACACCTGCTATAGTGCCTATTTCCTTTTATAATATTAACTATATCATTTTTCTAATGCAAACTATCGCCATCTGTTGTTGAAAGCGAGAAAATTAATACTAACTATTTACTTTAATCCAATCCTGTATCATAATACATAATAAGTTTCAACGTTCTATTTCATATTATACAATACAAAGATGTAAATAACCATTAAATATTAACTTTAATCAATTAGAAATTTTATAAATGTCTTGAAAAATCGAAACTTAATGATTATTCTATTAATAATTTACCTTGTAGAAAATATATCAGTGATTAGATATATTTTAAGAATGACTTCCTTTCTAGTTTACACATTGATATAAAAAAAAAAAAGTTTCTTTTAATTTAAAACAATTTGGCTACATGTAGTAAGATAGTGTTACTTTATAAAACAGAACAGAAAATACGTGTGATCATTTGTAAATAGCCTATTTGAGTAGAAAACATTAAATAAACTACGATACAAATTAGTCAAGAGTCTTTATTGGTGTAGTAATTTTATTTTCTTGAGTAGAAGGAATACAGATGCAACATTTAATCAATCTCTGGAGACTGTTAGGGCTAATTTCACACCATGATATTACAAAACAGTGTATTGTTAGATTATAAAACCTTCGTTAAGTGTCAAACGGGTGCAACTTATATCTGAACACAGTTCGTCTACATACAAATTTTATCATTGTATTATTAGCAATTTAAAAATGGATACAAAAATAGATTTTTTTTTTTATTCTTTTTATTATAATCATTATTTATTTTAATTCTTTGGACATGTTATTTTCTTGAATGAAATTTTTAAAAGTTGTAAATTTTTAATAATAATTTATCATAGATAATCAGATAAAAATATAATTTTTTATTATCTATAATATTTGGATAGAATAAAGTATGATTAATCCGCACATAAATATATAAATTTGTTAAAAACGCTTTTTATTTTCATTAATAACAAAAACGACATTATGCCAGAACGTTACATATGGTAATAAATATTAACTCAGCTTGGCTAAATATATCCGTGGGAATGGATGGCCATAAAAAAGGTAATTGCGAATACATAATTAATCAGAGCGTTATTAAAGAGAACTTTTCACAATTTCTCCACACATCGAGAGAACATCAATAAATGACAATGCCATGTTAACTCTCCATTCAAAATGCTTCCATCCAAAAACGAGAAATCGTAACACGTGGGTGCCTTCAAATAAAATAGAAAAATCATTTTTTTTTGTTTTTTTTATACTTATATTAATATTATTAAAACGGGATTAAAATGTTTAATTTATGCACATTTTTTTTAATTCTAAAATAGCATTAAGAAGATGTTAATCTGGATTTTCTCTCTGTCCACACATACAGACACACGCGCGCACACACACATACACACAGACTTAAACGAGAAAAGCAAAAAAAAAAATAATAAAAAAAACACTATTTAAGGTAGGATTTTTGACTTTAAAAAATATCTTAAATAATTGCCGACAGTTCGTTTTACCAAGATAATTAATCTAGACTTTTTTAATTAACCTGGTAGAAGATTTTAATTTTTTTTTTTTATTTTTTAAATAAAAACTTTGTTAGAAAAAGTTGCGGTGAAGTTTTTTAAATGTATAAAATTTGCGGTTGCTATGCCATCTAGTAACAAATGATAGAATTATAAGGGATAAAAAAAAATCTATATATATTTTTCTAGCTTTGTAATTTTTTAATTGGTGTTTTTAATACAATATATTAACATCTAAATTGACAGAAAACTCGTTTTTTCCCCCTTTTGTTTTCTTTTTTTGGAATGCCATTGCTCTTTCAGATGTATACAAATCATCGTAGAAGAAATTCATAACAAAATACTCTAGCAATTTAAAGAATTAGAAGAGTTTATGACTTTATGTTAAAAAATTAACGCGATTAAACACGTTACATTATTAAGTTAGGCAATTATGCAACATCAAAATAAATAGCAGATTTAACGAAAATGATATATTAAGTCATAAAATTGTCTTAACCGTGTATTCTGTATAAGAATGCTCACTCGATACCACTGAATATTGCAATATTGCGTGCGGTAATGCCTTCATTATTAATCAACGGATTAAAAATGAAGGGGGAGAGAATAAAATACCGAAAAAGATTTTTATCCATTTTATAAAATAATTTATATAAAATTTTAATTTATTTATTATTA